AAATTAACAATTCCTTGTGAATCTAGATTATTCTCTTCGTTCATGGCCTCATTTGTGACCGATTATGATAAACCTTCTATAGTTACGTCTGTTATTGGCTGTTGCTGTTGCTGTTGCTGCTGCTGTTGCTGTTGCTGCATTGTTCTTATAAACTTTAATCTTTCTTCGGGTGACAGAATCATAAATAAAAATGAACGAACTTCAAAATCAGGATCTTCCGCTAGTCGATTAATCATACCAAGGATTTGTGGTGGCCTACTTATTGGATCCTGATAATATTGCTCTTATTAAAATAAATAAATGATATCAAAAGTTACCCATATACGACCTTAATTACTCTTACTAGCGTAATTCTAACATTAACAACACTATCCGCTGAAAAATTTTCTAGAATTGGAAGAAAATATCTTTCAAAATCTAACTTGGGAAATCCTGATAAAACTAGAGCATAACAAATTTGTACAAATCTATATTATATTGAAAATAATAATTAACATAAAAATTTTTTTTTGAATGAAATCTGGAAAAACAATTTTATATTATACTATGATAAAACGAAATTACAATTATAATAATTATTTAATCAATATTTTCTTACATTACTCTTGATCGGAATTTATTCTCGGATGAAAATTCACATACACGTTTTATCGCTTCTTTAAATAATGTATCATCATTATGAACAGCTTCAAATAAAGCTGGAAACTAGAAATATAATTAAATGAATTGATAAACAGGTAAGTTGATAGATATATATTGATTTATGGATTGGAATTTTTAGTGCATATATATAATATATATATATATATTATATTAATCATAAAACTTACACAAGCAACTGTGGTTTCCCTTACAGTGGCAACTTCATCTTTAACCGCCTTTATGGCCAGTGGTAATAAATAATTTATTATACTGCTGCCATCAAATAACTGACATAATGCGGGAATTTGCCTTTGAATATTCAAGAGAGGAAAAATCAATAAATAAAATAAAAAATAATACAAGTACCAACTAATAAAAATAACTCATA